GGGAGAGGTCTTGTGAGGAAGCAGTTTGAGAGCAGTGCAAAGAAAACAGGGTAGGAAGAAAAGCAAGTGGCTTCAGGCTACAGAACTGCCAGGGCGACAGGAAGCCCTTCCTTAGTTCAATTGGGCAAGCAAGGGAGGAAGTGCTTCTGCGCGGTTAGAAGGTAACAACTGATCACAGCTTGTGGCTGCAGGTTGGTCCCTTCTCCCCCACAGCGCAGGCGGCTGGGTGGGTCCCCTCTGCTGCACTTTCAGTGGATGGGCGTGTTCTGTCCATGTGTCCACGTGTCTGTGTGTCCACAGACAGGCTGCAGCTGGGGGGCCCCACTCTGCTGTTCCAGGGGCCCAGAAACCAATTTTGAACTTTCTTTTTTTACCCACAATTCTCACTCTAGTTTTTAGGTGGCTGTGACTAGAGGCAAGTGACAATTTTCACTATGTCTCCTTATTAAAAAAAGAAAGAAAAGAATAGAGAAACTTGGAAATTCAAGGCCAGTCAATAAACATAGTAGGTTACATTTTACCATTTGTATTGAGAAATACTCAACTTGTTTTTCAGAAAATCATGCCAGTCATAAAGCCACGCTCATGATTGTACAAAAGGAAAGCATGTATTACACAAGAAGGGGCTAAAGTAATCTGTGAACTTATCAGGTTATAAATAAAAAAAAAAAGGTAGGTTATCTAGCCAACCATGAGATAATATTCGCTTCCATGACATAATTTTGTGTAAATTTGCAGTAACCTAGAAGGGTGTCGGCTGGTGCACCTTAAGATTTTTATTACCAAGTTACAAAATGTTGTTACTTCTTGGAGGGTTAGAATAAATTTCAGAGCAATGTGTAGTAATTAAGAAAATTGCCCTGTAAAAGCAAGAGAACAAAATAAAATAAAATATAGATATGAACCATGGCAGATGTCGCAGAATAGGGGGTGGATGTGAAGACAATAAGTGACATTGTTGCTAATGAAGCCCTGGCAACACGTGTCACAGATTAAATAATGAATGCCAGTTGGTGGGCACAGCAGGGAAACAGAGAGCCCTTGTTTCAGCTTGTCAATCTAATTTCAAATTAATTGCTTAAGCACAGCCTTCTGTTCTGGTTATAGCAAAGGAAAATGAAACATTTGAAATTCTGTAAATCTTGTAATTCACCCTGGATAACCAATCAGAACTGAATAAAAGAGCAAAGAATCCAAACAACTTGTTGCCTTGCCTGCAAATGGCAGGCTGAGGACAAGCAGGATCTGCTCATACTGCTCTGTTCCCTCTGGTCCTTTTTCTCGGGATCAGGGTCCAGCTGGTAGGCTGTAAGGGATCTATCTGCTCTTCGCCGCACTGCTCTGGGCTCGTGACTATGGCCCCATGGAGTGGAGTGGAAGGTCCCACAGTCCACCCCCTGGGACTAGTATCTTCTGGGGCTGGGGCTTTTCTGAGGTCTCAGGGAGATCAGGGTCTGCCTTTTCTTACTCTGGGACTTCGTGTGATGAGCTAATGAGATGATCCAAGTGAAAGCACTTTTTTACACAAATGAAGGGATTACTGTTTTTATTATTTTAGGATGTGTAATTGGTGGAGGAAGGAGCATAAATCAGAAGTCCTGGGTTTGAATCTTGGGTCATCTCATCCTAGGCCCCTCTGAATGCATTTTTAAAAATGCCTTCCTGTGGGTTTTTCTTTACCATCTTAAATCAGGTGTTCTTTACATTTGTGTGTGTGCCACAGAACCCCTTTGGCATTTTAGTGAAGCTTAATGAATCCCTTTGCAGAATAATGTTTAATGCATAAAATTAAATACATAAATTTAAATGCATAAAATTAGAATGTGTAGGATTGTGAAACCAATTATATCAAAAAATGTAATATTGTCATATACGGTTTTTATTAACACATTACATACCAAGAGCTACTGGTAGGTCTAATAACTACTGCACTTTTGAGGTGGACATGAGTGGAAATGATGCTTTGAGATATTTGCAACAACTGTAACGTGATGGGATTTCATTGATTTCTACTTGTGACAAGTCATAGGAATGGCTAGTTTTACTGTGGACTATTGCTTACATTTGTAATTGAAGAAAATGATAAATTTAGTGAGAGGTTAGTAAAGACTAAAATGAAATGCTTCCCCTCCCATGGCCTGAGATCCCCAGAAACCCATTGTCTGGAAACCTCACCCTTTCCTCTTGTGCCGTGCGCTCTCCAGGATCAAAGCCATGGTGCCAGCTCCTGCCCTCCAGCTGCAGTCACCCAGATGTGGCCCTGCTGTGCAGGCAGGCGACTGGAGCACCACACCTGTATCTCCTGCCGCCTGCTGCACCCCCCTCCCCCCGGGATGGCCCGGGGGACCTCACTCAGCCTCCAAGGCCAGCTCCTCGGCTTGGCCACCCCACCTGCCTCTTCCCAGCCTGCTCTTCCTTCCGTGCCCCAGCTCCGCATGGCTCAGGCCCCAATCCTCACTTGAGCAAGGGAGCTAGTGAGCACCCACGTCCCCAGGATTACTGCCCAGCCTCCTTGATAAAGTTTGTGAAAGTGTAAACTTGTACATTTTAAAGCACTGGTCTGCTTTTCCCTTTGCCTGGAATGTCTTCTATATTTCTACTCACCTAGTTCCTCCTTTTCTTTCCAACATGCACATCTGGTCACTTTCTGGTTTGAAATCTCGTGGTGACGCCTCTTTGCCTCCATGATGTGTCGTCAGAGGACTCCTGCCTCCCTTATAGTGTTTTTTTCCTGCAGGTCCCCTGCCTCCCTGAGCTCCCTGGAGTCCCTCCAATGGCCCACTCCCCATTGTCCCCTTTGCCTTGTCAGGCCCAAAGAGTGCCCCTGCCTGGGAGTCCCTTACCTGCCGTATCACCTTCAGGTCTCAGTTCTGCGCCTGCTTCGCTGGCAGCCTTTCCCAGCCTGCGCCATCACGAGGCCTCTACAGAGCAGCTTCGGTCCAGCCAGCTCCCCCTGCAGTGCTTTGACCGGACTCTGCTGGCCTTCACCGGCGCTGCGTACTTGGGGGACAGAATTATTAAAGTATGTGGTTAGGGGCACAGACTTCAGAGCCCAACTGCTTGCATTCTAATCCCAGCTCCACACTGGCTGTTTGGTCTTGGCAAGGTACTTACCCTAATTTAGGTGCCTCATTTTTCTCATCTGTAAAACCGGTATAATAATAGAGTGGTGAGTTTTAAATTAGTTAATACTTGGAAAACGCTTTAGAACCAGGGCTAGCTTACAGTAAGTGCTTAAACGTTGGCTATTATCATCAGTTTTAGTTTCAGCAGCGCGGCTTGGGCTCATTTAATAGATACTTTAACTTTTCCTGGAGTTTTTACACCGTAGTGTAATTTGAAACCCAGTACTTAATTGTTCTTCATCTCCATTGAGGTTGATATTGGACATTGATTTTAGCAGAAATAATTTATATGTGACAAAAGAGACACTTTTTGACCGAAAGGTAGGAAAAATCCTGGGAATTCAGCCTTTTAAGAGAATGATGGAGACATCGTCGCACCAGTAGTTAGCTAGTTGAGTTGAGGACATTTCCATTTTTCTTTCATTTCAGAGATTATGTTGATCTCACAGGATTTTTTTGCAGTTCTTTGAGTAAAGGAGAGATCAATATTACTTATCAGAAGAGTTATCTTTGAATGCAAGTCATCATACATGTTTGCAAACCAGATCCTCATAAAAGAGGTGGTTTTGAATGTATTACTTTTTTTTTAGGAGTATGTTCGTATCCCCTAAAACTGTTCCACTCCTGTGGGGAGAAAAGTTTTCATAAGCCTTACTACACGTTGTGTGACGTTAATGTGTTCTCATAATTGGTTCTTTTCTTTTTGTTTTTCTTCTGACATCAAAGTAGCCTTTCCTGAGGTCTAACTGTTCTAGCCTTTTCTTAGTTTTGCCACCAGGTGGGGTACTGGCTCCTTTTTAAGGTGTGGGCCACATACCTCAGGGGTAGTTTTCTCACTGAGGTGACTATCTTGCCCCTCATTCTAAAGTGACCCCATGAAAAACTGTTGAGCCCTGACCTGGGTGTGGGTGGGGGAGGCAGGTGACTCTCAAATGTGAGGGTGTCTCTGGGTGTTTCCTGCCTGATCTTATTGAGCTAATATACTAATGACATGTTTCATAGGTTTTAAATAAGTTGAATTTTACCAGAAACACATGTTGACAACAGGTGAATCAAGTTTTTCTTGGAATATTTGGTCCAATTTTTTGGCTTAGAAGAAACAGTAAAGTTAGGTAATTTTGACCATGATGTTATATAGCTCTTATTTAAATAAAAGGGAAATCAAGCCATTAGAATTAAAGCTCTTCTTGGAGTTGGAAAACTAGGGGAAATTTATGTACGTTGTAGACACATTATGTTAAAAAGCAGAGCATTTTTTATTCTTTCTTGAGCAATATACTGGAGCATTATTGACTTATAAGATATAAATGCCTTAATGAAATTATCAATTACATTTTCCTAGAATGAAAAATAAATTTAAATTCCATACTTTGAAACCATAGTGAGTCATATTAAGTTCTATTTTAAACTATAAAATACTCCAAAATGACAAAGAATCTTTATCATTTACATATAACCTAAATGTAGGTGGCGAGACTGAATTTTGAATGATTTTCAGATTTACAGACACCAAGTCAGAATCAGAAGTTAGAAGGTTCTTTGGTAAACTTTCCTCTTGAATTTAAATTAGTTTTTAGACTTTAGTGATTGATGAGGTTTTAGACCTTTTTAATGTGATAAAAAAGAAATCTGAAAATACTGATGATGTGTGACTTTGAAACTCAGAAACAGTAACGACATGTATCGCTCTTATGCAATGTGAAATTGCAGTGTTTATCCCCCTACACACACACACACACCCAACTTAAATAACAATATAAAACTCATTTCATGGCCCTAATGGAGGGCGGGCTGTATTCCTCTTGTTTAAAGTATATGAGTCACTTTAGTGCAGTGTCTAAAGGGGGACAAGGGTGTGCATTCTCTGTTTAAGTTTGTGTGCTGTAGACTGCTTGGACAGCAAGGACAAAAATGAAGCCTGAAGCCTCAGCTCATTCTGTCTGTGGATTTTATTTCTCACAGCAGCCCAGTGTCTACTTAACATATGGGGTGTGGTTTCAAGTTCATTACTGAAGCTTATAGGCTAAAGTGCTTTGTGGGCTTGGCTTTGACTTAAGTTGCCTTGAGGGAGGCGGCCAAAAACAGGGAACAGACTGTTTTCCCTGTGTATGTGGACTCCCAGAGCTGTCAGTGATTCCTCCCCACTCTGGACTATCTGCTGCTTTGGAGATTAGTTTCATAGTAAAGAGTCTTTCTTTAAAGCAACATGAAGCGACTGTTTTCACAGGGGCACCAGGTCAGTACCTAACACTCTGAACTCTGTGCAGCATATTCGGATTTTCTTTCTGTGCTCACTGGGCGATGAGATGACAGTGTGGCATTTGTGCTCTTGCTGTGTTCTTTTAGAAAAGAGTAGAGGCTGGGGTGTGTGTGTGTGTGGTCATGATTCTCCTTATAACATACTCATTGCTTGACTTTCTTAAATGCAGTAGAATAGAAGAAGAAATGACCTATGAGTGTTGGATTTGCAGTCTAGAGATTTGTACTTGTTTGTAAGCATTTTCAGTTCCTTTATCAGAATTACTCTTTGGGTGCTCTCCCATGAAATCTTCTAGGCATAACTATGATTATATACACAGTTGATTCTATTTTATTTTGAGTGCCAGGCAACAGTGTGCTGCGCTTCCGCTAGCGGTGTTGTTCCTCCCACATGTGTGGGTGCGTGGCTTTCCCCGGGGCCTAGTCCTGATCGTTACAATGAACCAGAGTATCATTTTAAGTTTCTCTTGGGAAATTCTGGCATTTTTCTAGAATGCTTCATAAAATACCTACCTAACAACTGATGTAGGCATAGTGTACAGGTGGATTAAGCTGGACTGAGTTCCTTCCCTAACTGTCACTGTTTTTAGGTGAGTCTTCAGAATCTGAGGTTACTCTAGGAGTAAATATGACTGTAAGGATGGAATGTGCCTTGTAAGATATAATTGCTAATTGTATTGCTAATAGTAATAAAATGAAATGAAGTCAATAAAACTAAGTTTCATGAGAATATCTTCCTTAATTTCATTAACTTCAAGTTCTAGAGGGCAATTTCACCTTTGTGAATTAGTCACAGAAGCAATCCAGCATGAAATTGTTCTATAAGAAGTGTTCAGCTGGATGATGTTTTAAAGTTTTCAACACTTTAGGAAATATCCTTGATTTTCTGTCATTTTACATGTGCTTTCGTTCAAGGTAATGTACTAACATTTTAAAGTATGCTACTCTGCTTCTGTTATTACCATTTTAGTCTCCTCTTTTTTTCCCCACTGGGAAATACAGCGTTTCAGACAGGGTCTGTTCTCTCATCTTCAACTCTGTATAAAAAAGTAAAGTTGAGGGAGAAGGGAGACAGACACAGGTACGTAAAACACATCTTTGAGGTGATTTGCTAAGTTTTAAGGATCCCAGTTCCCATTTCTGCTGAGGCTGAAGTTGTAAAGCTGTGACTGCGTGCCTCTTCAGGATGATAGAACTGACTGTACGATATACCCCCGACACACAACTGTGCAGCCATATTATTGCCCTGCCTCTGCAGGTACTTTCTTTAAAAGAAAATCTACTAGGTTTTTAGTTGATTTCCCAAAAAAAGCAAAGATTGCTATGACTTGCTTAATTATGCTATTGTGGCGTGTATGTACTATTATTAATTATTAAATGCTATTAATTAAAAAAATTAAATTATATTTTATTTTCATTGTTGACAT